GTACCTGCACATGTGATGTGACAATAAAAGTGATTTGATTTAAATGCATCTAATCAGTAGAATAACTGCTTTGCTTCTTCCAGTCAGCTGTTGGGTTTGAGTATGCTGGAAAGACGGAGAAGCACGCGTCACAGAAAGGTGATGTCCTCATTTGTTATGTCTTTGCAAAACTGCTGGTTTTGACTTCTTTAGATATGCAAAAGTGTCCTGGACATGGAACTAAGGCTTTACTCAGTGGACACATTAGTAATAGATTAGATGGATAAAAAAGAGAAAATCAGGTTAAAGCTGGAGTTTGAGACATAATGATGGTGTTTTTGTTAGACCCAGTGTGCTGGATAGAGTCGAAACAAACTACAGTTACAGGCTGCAGTGATCCTGGTACTCAGGAAGGCTTCGTGGCTCTCAGTGCTGAGGCTGCTTACCCAGGCTGTCGACCTTTGTGTTGCTCTCATTCCCTCAATAGTGTTTTGAACCACAGTCCTGAATATCTGCCCAATCCCAATGCTTCCTTATTGCTGTCCCTTGTTGCTACAGTAGGTGTACATAAGATGTACGTGGCCCTCAATGAGTAATTAAAAAAGCATGATATGATTGTGTGATAATCTTTAGTTTGTCGTTACTGTTGTGATTCTGTCTTAGCTTTTGAGTCATCCCATGAAATGTCAGTGTTTAGCCACCTGAGCTCGTCACAATTGGTCTGATTTTTGCAAAATAACTTGAGTAGATTCAATGAAGGCATTCAATGCAGGAGCGATGTACGTGAAGGGTTCAGCACTAATGAGCAGAGCATATTCAAGCTCTGCTTAAATGTATTTATTTTTTAAAAAGCAACTAAATCAATTCTACACCAACTCTCTCTCTAAAGCCAAAATCTTGTTTTTGTTTCTAATATTTTATTTTTTTATATTCAAATTCAAAGGTGCCAAATTTCAGCCCACCTTCCCATGTACTTGAAGTCTGTAATATGAATGTTTCATTAAATAGACTCAAGTTATTAAAGTCAATATCTCAGCTGATTCTGCAGAGATCAAGTGGAAACTTTTCCAAATTTTAAGTTTTTTAAAGTTTTTATTTTTTGAATGGAATGATCAGAGGCTAGCACCCGGAAGTGTCAATAGGGAATTTGGAATTGGGCTGCTCCACGATCACTGCTCCCATGCTGCTTCACCCTGATCTCTGAACCTCACCCCTTCCCTCCTTGCTCTGCTATGCAGACTACGCCACAGGGTTTGGGGGGCGATACGGAGTGCAGGCTGATCGAGTCGACCAGAGTGCCGTGGGCTTCGATTACCAAGGCAAAACCGAGAAACACGAGTCCCAGAAAGGTTTGTCGAGGCTTCCTGCCATATGGCGTTCTCATTAATCTGCAGAAAGATACAGACAGTACAGACAGACACTAGAGCTGTGATTGCGCAGCAGCCTGCAGGTCCTGGCAGATCATGTTTTTTTTTGCATTTCTTCATTCCTTCATTCCTGCTTATTTGAGATTGCACAACAATAACTTAACTGCTTTGAGCTGCATGTTTGCCCTGGATCAAAATG